TCTTCCTAGAAACATCACCAAAGGCAAGGGAAGCAAGGGCAAAAATGAACTATTCGGACTTCATCAAGATAAAAAGCTTTTGCACAGCAAAAGAAACAGTCCACAAAACCAAAAGACAACCGACAGAATGGGAGAAGATATTTGCAAATGACATATCAGATAAAGGGCTAGTATCCAAAATCTATAAAGAACTTATCAAACTCAACACCCAAAGAACAAATAATCCAATCAAGAAATGGGCAGAAGACATGAACAGACATTTTTCCAAAGAAGACATCCAAATGGCCAACAGACACATGAAAAAGTGCTCAACATCGCTCGGCATCAGGGAAATCCAAATCAAAACCTCAATGAATACCACCTCACACCAGTCAGAATGGCTAAAATTAACAAGTCAGGAAACGACAGATGTTGGCAGGGATGTGGAGAAAGGGGAACCCTCCTACACTGTTGGTGGGAATGCAAGCTGGTGCAACCCCTCTGAAAAACAGTATGGAGGTTCCTCAAACAGTTGAAAATAGAGCTACTATATGATCCAGCAATTGCACTACTGGGTATTTACCCCAAAGATACAAATGTAGGGACCCGAAGGAGTACGGGTACCCCGATGTTTATAGCAGCAATGTCCACAATAGCCAAACTGTGGAAAGAGCCAAGATGTCTATCGACAGATGAATGGATAAAGAAGATGTGGTATATATATACAATGGAATATTACGCAGCCATCAAAAGGAATGAGATCTTGCCATTTGCAACGACGTGGATGGAACTGGAGGGTGTTATGCTGAGTGAAATAAGTCAATCAGAGAAAGACATGTATTATATGACCTCACTGATATGAGGAATTCTTAATCTCAGGAAACAAACTGAGTGTTGCTGGAGTGGTGGGGGGTGGGAGGGATGGGGTGGCTGGGTGATAGACATTGAGTAGGGACTGTGCTATGGTGAGCGCTGTGAATTGTGCAAGACTGTTCAATCACAGATCAGTACTTCTGAAACAAATAATGCAATATATGTTAAGGAAAAAAAAAGAAGAAGATAGTAGGAGGGGAAGAATGAAGGGGAGTAAGTCGGAGGGGGAGACGAACCATGAGAGACGATGGACTCTGAAAAACAAACTGAGGTTTCTAGAGGGGAGGGGGTTGGGGGGATGGGTTAGCCTGGTGATGGGTATTAAAGAGGGCACATTCCGCATGGAGCACTGGGTGTTATGCACAAACAATGAATCATGGAACACTACATCAAAAACTAATGATGTAATATATGGAGATTAACATAACAATTAAAAAATTAAAAAAAATGTTTGGTAGAATTCACCTGTGAAGACATCTGGTCCTGGACTTTTGTTTGTTGGGATTTTTTTTTTTTAATTACCAATTCAATGTTGTTATCAGTAATCTGTTTGTTCAGGTTTCCTATTTCTTTCTGATTCAGTTTTGAAAGATTTTATGTTTCTAAAAATTTATCTATGTCTTCTAGGTTGTCCAACTTGTTGGCATACAATTTTTCATTCTATTCTCACATCTTTTATATTTCTGTGGTGGCAGTTGTTATTTCTCCTCTTTCATTTCAGACTTTTATTTACCTGAGTTTTCTCTCTTTTTTTTCTTCCAGAGTCTGGCTAACGGTTTGACTATTTGATCTTTTCAAAGAACCAGCTCTTATTTTCATTGATTTTTTTTTCTTTTTAGTCTCTATTTCACTTATTTCCACTCTAATTTTTATGATTTCCTTCCTTCTACTAACTTTGAGCTTTGTTTGTTTCCCTAGCTCCTATAGTTGTAAGGTTAGATAGAGATTTTCCTTGTTTCTTGAGGTAGGCTTGTATTTGTATTAACTTTCCCTCTTAGAACGGTTTTTGTTGTGTCCCAAAGATTTTGAACAGTTGTGTTTCCATTTTCATTTGTCTCCATGTATTTTTTTTTCCTCTTTGAGTCTTCACTGACCCACTGGTTACGTAGCCTCCATGTGTTTGGGTTTTTCCAGTTTTTTTTTTTTCTTGTAATTAATTTCTAGTTTCATACTGTTGTACTCAGAAAAGATGTCTGATTGATTTTAATCTTCTTAAATTTATTGAGATTTGTTTTGTGTCCTAACATGTGATCTATCCTAGAGAATATTCCATGCTCATTTGAAAAGAATGTGTATTCTGCTGTTTTGGGGTGGAATGTTCTGTATATATCTGTGAAGTCCATCTGGCCGAATGTGTGGTTCAAAGCCAGTTTCCTTACTGATTTTCTGTCTGGGTGACCTATCTATTGATATAAATGAGGTGTTAAAGTCCCCTACTATTATTGCATTACTGTCAATTTCTCCCTTTAAGTCTGTTAATATTTGCTTTTGGATTGAACCCTTTTTATCATTACATAATGCCTTTCTTTATCTCTTATTACAGTCATTGTTTTAAAGTCTATTTTGTCTGTAAGTATTGCTACCCAACCTTTTTTTTTTCCACCTCCATTTCTATGGATTATCTTTTTCCAACCCTTCACTTTCAGTCTGTAAGTGTCTTTTGATATGAATTCTTCTCTTATAGGCAAGATGGGTCTTTTTTTTTTTTAATCCATTTTGTCACCCTATGTTTTTTGCTTGGAGTATTTAGTCCACTTATATTTTAAGTAATTATTGATCAGTATATACTTACTGCCATTTTGTTAATTGTCTTCTGGTTATTTTTATAGTTCTTCTCTGTTCCTTTCTTCTTTCGTTCTCTTCCCTTGTGGTTTGATGACTTTCCTTAGTGTTATGCTTGGATTCCTTTCTCTTTATTTTTTGTGTATCTACTATGGAATTTTGATTTGTGGTTACTATGGGGTTCATATATAACATCCTATATATATAGCAGTCTATATTAAGCGGATAATCACTTAAGTTCGAACACATTCTAAAACACTAAATTTTTACTCCAACCACCTTTTATGTATATGATATCGTATTTTACTTCTTTTTGTGTATTCTTTAACTAATTTTTAAGGTATGATTGATTTTTACTGTTTTTGTGTTTTAACCTCCATATTGGCTTCATACATAGTTTTTATCAGTGAATTTTTTTTCCTTTCATAATTTTCTTTCTAGTTATGATCTTTTCCTTCCACATAAAGAATTCCCTTTAACATTTCTTGTAAGGCCAATTTAGTGGTGGTAAACCCCTTTGTTTGGGAAGCTATCTCCTTCAATTCTGAATCATAACCTTGCTGGGTTGTAGGTTTTTTACTTTTAGCACTTTGAATATATCATGCCCCTCTCTTCTGCCCTGAAAAGTTTCTGCTGAAAAATCAGCTGATACCCTTATGGGGTTTCCTTTATATGTGCTTGCTTTTCTCTTGCTGCCTTTAATATTCTCTCTTTATCTTGACTTTTTGCTATTTTAATTATTATGTGTTTTTGTGTGGACATCCTTGGGTTCATTTTGTTTGGGGGCACTCTGTGATTCCTGACCTGGGTATCTGTTTCCACTCCCAGATTAAGGAAGTTTTTCTTCAAATTATATCTTCAGATAAGTTTTCTGTCCCCTTTCTTTTCTTCTTCGGGGGCTCACTATAATGTGAATGTTATGCTTGATGATGTCACTGAGTTTCCTTAATCTATTCTTATTTATTATTATTCTTTTTTCTTTTTGCTGTTAAGGTTGGTTGCCTTCCATTATCCTGTCTTCCAAATCTTTGGTCCATTCTTCTGCATCCTCTAATCTGCTGCTGATTCCCTCTATATATTTTTAATTTCAATTAGTGTATTCTTCAACTCTAACTGGTTTTTTTTTTATAGTTTCTATCTCTTTGTTGAAATTCTCATTGAGTTCATCCACTTTTTTCTCAAATCCAGTGAGTACCTTGATGATCATTACTTTGAATTCTTTATCAGGCTTGTAAAAGGGACAATTACTGCATAAGTTGGTTGCAAAGAATATGAAAGAAAATCAAATGCCTTTATTTTCCCTTCTTTAACAATTAAACTTAAGTCCACAAATATAATTAGGCCAAAATGCAAGAAAATTTCATTGAATGTGAAAGCCTAGGATTTTTAGCATTGTTTTAACATATGTGTGTGCTACAAAGTATTTAAGGAAAAATAAAAAAATGTCAGTATTAAAAGAAAGTCTCTGTCTTTGCACAGGGCACTGCCAGCTTCTTAACAGTGTATCTGCCAGAAATGTCTCTACAAAATGCTAAGGTGTCATGGAGCAGGGTGACTTTTCTCAATCCTGAACAAACGTGACATGTTTCCAATATAAACTAGCATGACATAAAATAAACTTGTTTAGTTGCTCAAAGACAAAGAAGCACTAAGCACCTAACATGGTGCTGAAAACAATTTCCTTTTAATATATATTTGCTAAATGATGGACTTAAGATGCAAATGTAAGCTATAACCCACATTATTGGCTCTTTTGATGTAGGTGCTTATGCCCTCATCATGTTCCAAAAGGGTTAAGGCAACTAAAAAACATGCATAAAAATGATGAAGATAAACTGAGACTAACTAAGAAGAAAAGTTGCAACACTGTAGGTGAACAAGATGGAGCGAGTAAGCATGTACTTGACAACTTCATCTGCGCTGTATAGTAAGATTTAAAAATGCACATATTATCTTTCTATTGAAGGACCATGCTATTTGTTGCATTTTTCTTTTCTAAAAGTAGTCAGAATAAACAGTAAATAGGATTTTTCCTAATGAGGGGTCTGGGAATTAGGAATCTATGTTTTGGCTCAAGAAAACATCTTTAGTTCCACAAATTGTTGTTTAGGATAAACAACAATAGAGCAGAAGGCAGTGCAGACTCTAGTCTGAAGATCAGTAAAATCTGGGGGGAGAGAGAAAATAAGTGTCTTTACAGATTTATTTAAGCATGGGGGAATAATAATAAGTACAAGTATACCTGCAAGTTGTATTATGGGACCAAATAAACAAAAAACTAGAAATCTATATTTAATACAAGCAAACAAAAACCACAAGAGGAAGCATAAACCACTTTATCTCCGATTCCCAGAAAGTCCACTTACCTATCGCTTGAGCTAAGGCTATAACAACCTCCTGGCAAGTTGTAACTTCGGTGACCCCACAAACAATCCTCTGAACTCCATCCACCCATACTTTAAGTTCCATGGTGCAACCAGCCAGTCACCCAAGGGCCCTGAGACTGGTCATCAAGGTGTCAGGTCATGTCGCTGGCTATGGAAATATGGGGAAGGCAGTCTTGTGTAGTCAGCTAAAAGGAGGAAAAAACATTTTTAATAAAATGAGTCTTCAAATTTCTTCTATTAAGTATTATGCAAAATAAATCCTACTACCATTAATGACCATGTACATACTTATTTTATAGAACAGAATTCGGTAGCATGAATACAACTACAGTCACTTCTTCATGATATTGTTTCATATTACTATAATTTTCATAATTATATTTTTAATCATAAAGTAACTCTAAGAAATCAAAAAGCAACTCTAAGAAATCTTACTTACTTGACTAAGCCCTATTGTTCAACATATAAGCTATTCCTTTTTAAAAAAATTTTTTTATTAACATATAATGTATTATTTGTTTCAGGGGTACAGGTCTGTGATTTATCAGTCTTACACAATTCACAGCGCTCACCATAGTACTTACCCTCCCCAATGTCCATCACCCAGCCACCCCATCCCTCCCATCCTCTCTACTCCAGCAACCCTCAGTCAGTTTCCTGAGATTAAGAGTCTCTTATGGTTTGTCTCCCTCTCTGGCTTCGTCTTGTTTCATTTTTCCTTCCCTTCCCCTATGATCCTCTGTCTTGTTTCTCAAATTCCTCATATCAGTGAGATCATATGATACTTGTCTTTCTCTGACTGACTTATTTCGCTTAGTATTATGCTATTCCTTTCTTTTAAAAAAAAAATCTCATTAGGATCATTTGTAAGGTTAAAAAAAAGTTTTTGTCATTTTTTTAAATAATAAACCAGTTGAACCAGTTTCCCTAGCCTTGCCAGCATTTGTAAATCTATCTTCATAACTCCATTGCATTCCTTTGTTTATTGTGTCCCTTGCTTCCCTCTCTTCCCCAAAAGGGCTGAGTGTCCTCTTCAACACTCAAACTCCAACACCAACCACAGTATAAGGCATAGGTGTGCAGAAAATATTAGTTGATGGAAATTAATTCCTTTACTGGCTGACAACTTCCCCATGTATGAACTGCTTGTCCTTTTCTCATTTATTTAACTGAGGTTTGATAGTATTCTTAAATTACAAGAATTATTCTAATTATATAAACCTCAACTTGTTGTTACACTTGCTGTTTCCTCATTGATTTTTTTGTTTAGCTGCACTATATATATATGCCAAGCAGAAATTTTTACATTCTCACACAAACCCAAATGCCTTGATTTCTTGTATTGATTAGAATGTTATTAGCTGGTTAAAAATCAATTGCACACAATTCTTTTTCCTGTAGGTTTTTAAAATCTCAGCTCTTCCTGTGTTAAAATTTTAATCAATCTATGATTTGTTTGTCCATTGTCCTATGGTCTTCTTATTTTTTTGTTGGTTTTTGAAAAGAATGCTAAAGTTTATGAGATGTAATAAACATTGATTTGATTAAAAGGAACATTTAAATTTATTTAAAAGTCGACAATGGAACTGGTGTTTCAGGATTAATGACTTATTGATTTAAAAAACACTAAAAACGTGTCTAGTAAAACAGTATTTACTACAAACAATAACATAGTCCTTGTGCATTTTCTTAAAGGACCTAAGGTAGTTCTAGGCCACCTGTCACCCGTGTGTATGAGACAGAACACACATAAGTGAAGGAGAATAAACCTATTGCTTTCTCCAGAGAAGGTACAAAAATAGTTTTTGTCATCCTGAAAACAAGGGAAAGGACTGACTGTTTCCCAGTGTGTCGATTTGGCTCCCTCTGCCTACACATTGAAGTGCCAAGGTGGTTTCATAAACCCTCTATATGCCCAGAAGGAGGGCCACTTGCCTCTGACAAGCTAATTTCCGTAACTGTGTTCCTCAGTTATGACATCCTGTGAGATGCTAAAGTTTCTGGGGGGCAGGGGGAAGGGTTCCAAAGCCAAAGAAATGTTGAGAAATCTTGCAAATAAAGTTTAACAAGTTTCTTTACAGTTAGACTACTCTGAGCATTTAATAGGCTGTTGCACACTCAAATTTCAAATGAGAGGTTTATATATGCTACTGTCCCCAGTCCATTTAAAGACCACTTAAGGAAAGGAAACAGAAGAATTCTGACTTAAAACAAGATCTTTCTCCTTCTCCGTCAGCTGCTCTATTTACTAAAAATAGAATATGTATTATTCCTCTTGGAATAAAAGATTAAAAAATGGCCAAACATTAATATATTGCACTAAATTAATATATTAAAATTAAATTATTTTATTAAATAAAAAACTCAGCTGAGTTTAAAAATCTAAACTGAATTAAAATCTATTTAATACCTAGTCCATTATTTTTCATTAAAAGATCTTAAACTTGGGAAACCTGGCAAGAAAGACAGATCTCATTAAAGGCCTCCTCCCCCCAAAGAAACCTGTCATTTAAAAGAAACTTATGAGGTTCATTTTTAAGTTCTATAAAGGTTTTAGTATATCACATTTTCTTATCTTCAATTATCATTGTTTTACCTCAAACTTTTAACCATTAAGTGAATACAAAGGAACACAGAACACAGGTACATCTGTTAAATATTACAGAGTATAATAACGTTATGGGAAAACACTGAGCATAAATAATATTGCTTAGTTGGTATCAACTTGGAGGGTATTTATCCTCTTGATCAGAGACTTCCTACCACAGCTCATCACACAGAAGACCAGCATCTGCATTTTTCTTTTAACACCATGAATATTATCTTTCAAACTTAAATCCTTAAGGAGAGTAAAAAAGATGCCTTAATAGATCAGATCAGGGGCATCTGGGTGGCTCAGTCAGCTAAGCGTCTGCCTTCAGCTCAGGTCATGATCCCGGGGTCCTGGGATAGAGCCCCACAATTGGGCTCCGTGCTCAGCAGGGAGCCTGCTTCTCCCTCTCCCTCTGCCCGCCTGTCTGCCTACTTGTGATTTCTCTCTCTCTCTCTGTCAAATAAATAAAATCTTAAAAAAAAAAAAATAGATCAATGAACCACATGGTCCAAAATTTTATTTCTAGCAGAGCCACTATTTTCAAAATATGGCTTCTGTCAATTTGAGACTGTACTAACAATCATCCCCCTAGCTTCCCTAAAAATCACGGTGTTATTCATGAAAGTCATTTGAAGAAACTGTCTTCTCGGTAGAAGCCCCTACTACTCCCTTCTGTTCTATCGTCCAGAGTCCAACTCCTATGGCTCTGCTCCCAGCCCCAGAACTAGACTAGAGGGAAAATGGAAGTCCTACACTGTAGGTGCGTATGGTGGATTGCTCATCATTGGAACTAAGGACTCAAGAAGCTAAAGGGCTTTGGCATCTCAGTTGGAATTTGGAATAAATTTTTCCATGGAAACAATGATGTAGGTAGAAGTAAGGTTCTATTGCAAGGGCATTATATTATAGTTCTTATTGTTTTTACCATAAGGTTTCTATATTCAAATCATTATTATTTTAATTTTTATAATGAAAAATTAGGTTTATTCAGTAACATCCTACTGGGAACAAGTGTTCTTTAGTTAAAAACTATTTATTATCTTGAAAGCCTATTGGAATTAAGCATCTGCATTTGTGGAGACATATTCCCCCAAGAACAGTGCTTTAATAAAACAATTTTAGTCAATCCTCATTATTCGTGGGTTATTTGTGAAGTCACCCACTCACTAAAATTTATTTATAACCCCAAAATCAATCTTTATGGCACTTTCAGAGTCATTCAAAGACATGTATATAGCAGTGAAAAATTTGAGTTGCCTGACCTACACATTCCCAGCTGAGGTTGTAACGAAGCAATACTCTGCCTTCTTTCATGTTTCATACTGCCGACAAGTTATCTTTTTTCAGTGTATTTAGTGCCATGTTTTGGCATTTTTGTAGTTTTTGTTGGTGATTTCACTGTTGAAAATGTCTCCCAAGCATAGTACTGACACCATCTAGTGTTCCTAAAGTACAAGAAGGATGTGACTTATGGAAAAAAGTACGTGTTGTTAGGTAAGTCTTGTTCAGGTACGAGTTAGAGCGCTATTGGCTGTGAGTTTAATGGCAATGAATCAATAATATACGTCACATAAGGCATCTTTCGACAGAAAAACACATAAAACAAGGTGATATACTGATCAGTTGATGAAACTATTGTGACCAAAGGTTCTCACAAATAACAAGAATTGACTCCCTACTTTAAAATGGTATAACTTCCTTGTGATGGCTACCATCAAGCTACTAAGCAAACTGCATTACTCCCTGGACACTAGACACAAGCATACAGGTGGCTTATTGCCAATTTTTACACTTCTTTCATGTCCAGTTTTGTTCAATATCTGTGGTTATTGCATATTAAAGCATTCTTGACAGAAACAGCATACAGATAAAATGTGTTATAATAAAATCTTCACAATCAAGCTAGCTACTTTAATTAAAAAAACACTGATGCTAGCCACTAGTTCTTTTGGCATCATACAGAAAGAGATTCTGCACAATGAACACTGTGTATTCTGAACAGTACTTATTAGAACTAATAATCAGATACCCAACCCAAATTCTCTTTTGTACAGAAAACTAGTTAAAAAATAAAATCTAGGGGTGCCTAGGTGGCTCAGTCGGTTGGGCGATCGACTCTTGGTTTTGCTCAGGTCATGATCTCAGGGTCATGGGATTGAGGCCTGTGTTGGGCTCTGTGCTCAGCGGGGAGTCTGCTTCCCCCTCTTCCTCTGCCCCTCCCCCTGCTTGCAAATGTGCACTCTCTCTCAAATAAATAAATCCTTAAAAGAATAAAAACTAAAGGGAGTTTAGATTACCTCATTCTAAAACTAATTTGATGTGAGAATTAAGTGAAGTTATGGAGAACAACTGTTATGAACTAAAAAAGTATTAACCTTTTAATGTTCAAATGGTTACTGAGGTAAGGAAAAAAAATGGGTACTTCTTGCCTGTGGGAGATGGAAAAGTAACCAAAGATAAAAACAAATAACAACAACAAAAACCACCTGGAGAACATGACAGGATGAAGCACAATAAGAGAAGGAGAGAGTGAAAACACATTAGGAAGGAAAAAGTGGGTAAGAAAACAGATTTTGGTAGGTACAAGTAACA